GTTCATGGCTGTGTTGGTGTAATTTCCAAACCAGCAAAATTAGATTTGGCCATGTTGTTTCAGTTGTTTCTGGGACAGGCCAGAATGAGATAAAATTTGTCATGCATTTTGTTCTGCAAAGGTAAATATTTCCCTGGAACTGCTTATGTAGGTAATTGGACACTTTCTTCCCTCTTTATGCCTGAAGAACCACAAACTAAAATTGGACATGGCTGGTCCATAGCTGTTAGGAGTTCCCTACATGTCCAGAGAAGAGCATAGTGATTTCATTTTCCCTGTTTTGTGCTGAAAAGATGAGGTAAAAGGCAAAGATGGGTTGTATGAGGAAACACAAAAAGTTAGTGTCAGATTAAAGGCAGTAGGGGACTTTAAGGCTCAGGATGTATTGACTGCTTTAGGATGCTCCCTGACAAGGGGTAAAGGGCTAAATGCATGTTAAATGCATGTATTGTTCCTGTTAATTGTTTAGGCACCTATTTTGACCGTATGGTGACTGAACAATATACCAGGAGCAATACTGCTAATAGAATATTGATCCCTGGCTCTTCTGTAAATAGAACAAATGTGTTTGTTTCCCCGAGGATTAGCAGGCTGTGAGGGGAGGAGGGACGTGCTGTACCTGGTGGTTCAGCTCACAGTCAGCCAGGGAGCCAGCAGGGCTCAGAGGGACACAGCAGCAGTTAATGAACACTCAGCTCTGCCTGTCAGAACCTCATGGCTGACATTACCACCAGGGACCTCGCTGCCCTTTCCTTCCTGCACGTTAATCACATGAAATCCAATTCTCCAGAGCTCTGAGTGCTCCAAAAGCACAGATGCATTTTGATCTGGGATTCTGATCTTTAGTCTATTTACCTCAAATGGAAATCACATTTAAAAATGCAAATTTCCAGATTCTACTCTGTGATTATCCACAGGAAACTTGGTCAAATTACCCTGGGTAAATGGACAGTGTTGAACAAAATTAATAACTATGAGCAGCTTGCAGAAAAATGTGAAAAGGATATTAATAACTGGATTTGCTTGAGAATAGCAAAATAAAAGCTTTTAATAATAGGCAAAATACCTAACGACCCATAGACTAGAGGCTCCTATTTTCATTTGGCCCCAGACACAAAGGTGTATATTTTTCTTTTATGTTCAAATGGGTGGACAGGGTAAGACAATAATGGCTGAGTGCTTCTATTCACTCTTGGTGGGATGCTGACTGTACTCAAGTCCTATTGCCAGTGAGGATTTTGGAGCAGAGATCGCATTACTTCTGAGATATCTATGACCTCATCTGCCCACTGAAAGGCTAAATACATTATTTGTAGCAGATGAGTCTCTCTGCTACTATTGTTGCATCCGTTTCAAAATTGGTTTTCCGGCTTTGCAAGTGTGTTGACACAGAAACACAGGTTGTTAATGCTGTGGGCAAACACAGACTCCTCCTTGCAGATAAAAATACAACAGGAATAGCTCTAGAAGGTTTGCACACACAGTTCTCCTTTCTAATGTGCCGTTGCACACACCTGAATAATTTTTCAGCCTTTAGTCTCTTTGCTGTGGTGGCTGCACAGCTGCTGTGTTGAGCAGCTGGATGCTTTGAGGAAAAATTTCTTTAGAGGGAGTTTTATTATTTGGTATGGTGCCATAGATCCCTAGCAGCCGTGGCTAAAAGGGAATTATTAGGGCACCCCAGTTTGTCTCCCTTGTCTCATTGAAAACTTTTCAGGGCAAGTTGCTTCTTGTGTTTGAATGATGAGGTTGCACAAGAACTGGAGGTAAAACACCTCTAGAGGCAGAGCATATAGAAAGTGGTTTGCTTCATCTCCCACAGAATGAACTGCAGTCAGGATTTTCTAACTGCTATCTGTGCTAGACATTTTTAATTGAAGCACTGGTCAAGTGGAAGCCTTTTCTCAAGCTCATACACTAAGTGCTCAGCAAAGCACAGAACCCTCTTCTTTTAAAGAAAGGCTTTAGAAAACAGCTCTGGGGAATGTGTTTAAGCTTGGCTTCCTCATCACTCCTCAGTAAGTGACATCAATTATCCAGCTGCCTGGCTCCAAGGAACAGAGAAGCTACAGTGCTCCAAGTCAAGCTGTGTTGAGAGTTCAAGAGGAACCATACCTGTGAAACATCCACCACTCAGCCTCTGCTCCATTCCCCTCTGCAGCTTCTCTGAACTTAATGATGAATTAGTCCCCTTTTTCAATGATTTAATTTAAACCTTCACTAATCTCCCAGAAGAGAGAAGTGGTTGTAGTAGAGGAAGCCAGAACACAACATCCAGAAATACAGTGTGCATATTGTCACTAACAAAGTAGAGCAGAGCTTGAACCAGCTCTGGCCACTGCAATTTAGGGATCTTCAATACACCTGACAATATTTCACACAGACACTCACGTGCAGTATCCTTGTACCTGCATCCTAGAACTAACTTCTTCTTCCAACAGAGAAGCTATACAGTTAGTGTGCAGTGTAACTACGAGGCAAGAAATGCACTTGCTGCTTGCACCCAACTTGCCATGTCACCCTGTCAAGCCAATTACTTAAATTAAAGTTTTGTCTGGCCCTTCTTGACAACACAGCCTCTAACGATGAAAATATGTATGATAATGATCTGGAATGCAGGAGATGGAACTCATTGTTTTCCAACACTCCTGCTATTACTATCAGTTTCACTTCAAAGTAGGGCATTTTCTTTGGGAAAAGCAACACAAAATTGTCACTTAGTTTCACTAGCAGAATAGTGGGGTTTTTTTGCTCTGTTCCCATTCTAATGCTTTTCTTCATGGTTGAAGAGTTTAGTCCAATGCTCTGGGAGAGAGAAGAAAACATTGCTAATTGCACTAAGATTGATATTCTAGGAAATTTAAGCAAAGAACTCCACTGGCAAATTCATTAGGCAGCAGAATAATCCCACTGGGAAAGTACCATTGTGTCAAACTGGCTTTAGTCATGGTGGAAATATTTTGCTCTTTATGCAAAAATGATTGCAGGATCTGGCCTAACTAGATAGCCTGCAGGAACAATGAAGACAAGTCCATCAGTAACTGATATGATTCCAAAGGCAACAGAATATCAGAAAATGGTTGGGTAAAGTACATTAAGCAATATTTTGATGGATCCTACAGAGCAGACCTTGTCCTGCACAGTTTTTCATTGGAAACTTCTCTGCAGCTTTCCAACAGCTTCCCTTCTGCTTAGCAAGAAGAAAGAGGGGTGCAAAAACAAAGAAGGTAGACCTTTTAAACAGCTTCTCTGTTTTTCATTGTCCTGTGACTATGAAGGAATTAATAGCTATTTTAGGAAATTAAAATCGTATTTTTTCTATCATCCTTAAGACTACAGTTATTTTATTGGACAGTATTTGCTTTCTTTCCCTCTGATCTTCCAGAACTGGACTTCTCAAACTTTTTCCCAGTACAGGTCTTATCTGTCTTCAACCATCTTCACAAAATCCTGCCTCCAAACAAGGAAATAACAACACACATAATGAGAAGCTCATAATTGTTTTTCTCAGCCTCAAAATAGCCTAATTTATTTTCTCCCACTGCTAGCTCTGATTGCATCTTTCCTAGCTTTAAAGGACAGTTCATAGAGAGAGAAAAAATATACACAGTGACTGCTGAGTGGTTATAAATACTGATTTGGTGCATGCTGCTTTGATACAAGTAACTGTCCACCAGCCCTGCAGGAAAATGGGTTTAAAGAGAAAAGTTGAAAATCCAAACCTCTCTATACATTCAGCAGCTCATAGCCCAGCCTCAAGCTCAGTGGCAGGCAAGTGTCAAAAATAGTCTCTGTTCCTGCAGACAAGGCTTTCTGGAATTAGGGTATTAGCTACATGAGACAGAAAACCCAGACAGTACATGCAGACACAGAAGAAGAATTTGTCTTCTGCTCTCAAAGTGCATACATTTTATGTATTGTTGCTTAATTTTTACAGGGATGAAGGAAGATTTCCAGCAGTGGTGATTTTTTTTTTCTCTCAAGATTTTACAATCTCTCAAGCAAGGAAGGCTACAGCTTGTCTTGAAAAGATACAGCTCTTGAAAATGAACTGCCTGTGGAAGAAATGCAGTAAAAATGTTGCCTCTCAGTGGAACAAATCCAAAGGATAATCAGAGTCATTATCTAAAGCCAGATATAAAAAAAAAAAAAAACCCAACAAAAAAAACCCAAAAAAACTCTTCCAAGACCCTCACCAGAACCCANAACAAAAAAAACCCAAAAAAACTCTTCCAAGAAAAAAAACAGAAAAAAAAGTTATATTAAAAAAAAAATAAAAAAAAATCTGACACTTAGTACCCTTGTGTTGTTTCTACCCTAGGACATACCTGACTCTTGAATTCACCCCTGCATAAGCACAGAACCTTTCTTTTAATTTTATCCTTCTCATAGACATATTCATTATTAATTAGGCTTTACAGTTTTCCCATCATTCTTTCAGTAAATTAATAACCTTACGAAAGCACACAGCTGTTGTAAGAAATCTGGATTGCAGTCCAATGGGATGAGAAGTGTGGTATTAGGCTTTTGTTTCCTGGAAGGGATGCATACACAAACCACTGCAATCTAATACCTTTAGACAGAAATGGGAAATTGTGCTGCTACTCTGTTCATCATTTTCTCCCCTGAAATTCAGAGGGTTTGCAGAGCAGCAATAGCTGTGCCTCCTCCTGAACAGCAGGCAGGTTCAGCATAAATTTATTGATTACCAGGTCCAGTTACTGAAACTGGAAGGCAGCCTTCATCTGCCTGTCATGGCTGTGAGACTGGTGATTTTGAATAGAGCCCAGGAGTCCACAGACATGCTGAAGACCCACACATGATGAACTTGGACTTCATCAGAGCCAAGCCAATGCCAACCACTTGATCCATCAAGGAAATTAAGATGTCCAGAAAACAATTTCATATAATGTTATACCACAGTAAAAAATGCACAAAAAAAAAGAAGCTGACAAACTGCAGAAGAGCTGCTAGAAAAATCTACAGTAAAAAATAAGCACTTTCTATATAAATATCTCTCTGTATTTACTATACCCAAGTTGATCTCTCTTTTATTACATTTCTATATAAAACTGGTATTGGCTCTGATCTCAAATAAAGCTCTCACTCCACACGACTTGCATCCAAACTTTCTGCCATCAAGACTTAAGATGATTAACTTGCATTTAATTTCCATGACTTAATCAACAAAGTCTCTAGTTATATGTATTTATATAGATATACATGTATATATACACACATACATACATACATACATACATACATACACATGACAAATACTGTTGAAGGTTTCCTTTCTTCCAGTGTTTGTAGTGACAGTCATCCTAGAAGGTGAAGGCATACACCACTCCCACAACCACAATATTTCCAATTGTTGCTATTATTGCAATCCATAACAAAATGGCATCATTTGAAGAACGGGATGTCTCTTCTGGTGGATTCTGCATGGAAGAAGCTGCATGCACGTTGGCTGATGAGTTAAACAGGGAGTACTCTGTACTAAAGTCCTCGTTGGGTGAGTCCATAAAGGCTCCTCCCATAACAGGAAGCTGTGAAGAAAAACACAGCAGAATCAGACTGAAAGCTAATATCTGTTTTTGCATTGTCTCAAAGTCATTATTAAAGACTAACCATTAGCTAATTGCAAAATTACTGAGATTTCATGTTCATGGTGCTAATCTGTCTGGAATATCACATTTCTACCATTTCTGTTGGAATCAGTATTATTGGAAGAAAACCTACATATAATACATGCAATATACAGAAGAGCTAGCATGCAGGCTTTGAGTCAGTGTAAGTAATCATATGCATTTAGAAGAGATACCCATATACACAAAGCACTCACAAAGCAGAATTTGAGTTGATAGCAACAGGATTGTTTTGTGTCTACCAGCAAAGGTATCATGTCACTGCAAGATATTGCACAAGCACAGTGAGCATCTGATGCACAGAATTTGTTCTCCTCTTATGCATCACTCAGAAGCAAACTCTTGGTTTACATAAAGATCATGTAAAGAGTTCTTACTGTAAAAGAGGTGGAGTGTACTCAGTGCACTAACTTCACTTGCAAAACACACCATGGCAACAATCCAGGATTTATAAATCAATACAATGGAAAACTTCAAATTGGATTTTGAAAGACTCCATCACAATGCAGTAGATAGCAGATTTCTAAAAGTTTTCCCACACCAGACTTCTTCTACTGGGAAGGACAAAGTTTCTTTGGTGCTCTTAGTGGATTTTTCAGCAGTACCAGAAAATGTTCTGGATAAGATAACAGTTACTTGATACACTATGCAAAAGATAAAGGAAGAAGAAACTGTTTAACTATATTCTTTTACATGTTCCAATTTCCTTCCCAACTTCATCCTAGATCAGAACACGTATTCTTCAGGGTTCAAGAACTCTACATCGTGGTATAAAATTACATCCTTCTGCAAATGAATAGATTCCTCATTGAGGCAAGAGTAGGATACCTACTGCAGTACGAAGACCATTTACAACTAAAAAAGGCTCACACAAAAGCTTTTTGCTTGCATCCTTGTCCCTTGTATGTTTGGAAATGCAGAGTTGTAAGAGTCTCCCCTTACTCAATGCAAGCTCCTAGTCTCATGTAAGTACAGGACACTGTTTCAGAAAATGCTGCAGAAGATCTATTTCACGTATCTATAAATAATTAGGACACAGGTTTCTGAATATCCTGTAAAAAAACATGAGCAGTGACGGTATGGTAAAGTCCAAGTCTCTGCAGTACTCTGTAACCAAACTCTGTGAGGACTGTAGTACATAGGTAGACCAAACCCATGGATTTAGTGGATAAAAAAACACCCAAACAAAGTCATATCTCTAAATCTCTCTGCCAAAATTCCATCATGGCATTGATGATTGGTTTGGTCTTGAGCAATGACATCAGTGCATCCTACCTACATCCCCCTTTCAGACCTGGTAGGAGTCCATGGCTTCAGGGAAAGCTGAAAAACATCTGGGAATATTGTCCTTAAGAAACACCCTCACTGCAACACCAGCCAACCTTTCCTCCCTGGTTTCCATACTGCTGCTATCATCCTCCAACCTTTAGACACAATCTCCTGTTTTACATCTGATTAGTAAGTGCCTTTGGGGTTTCAGTAGAATTTTTCACCTTACTCAATAGGGTTCTCTTCTAGTCTAACTTCAGCACTACTGCTGAAGTCACCACAGCCTATGAATAACAGAGGAACAAGCCTGGCCTTCCTTCAGCCATATCACAGAAGGCTGCTATACCTTCAGCCCTAAATTGCCCTGTCAAATACCCACTGGGCTGAAAAATCACCTCTTTTAGCACCCTGTCCTTCATGTCCTGAATCACATTTTGATTCTCTCAGTAACCTCTCCCTTTGGAATCAAACTACACCCATTCTGGGTATGTGCAGCTGTGCTATGGAGGCTGCTGAAATGGAGAGCATGTGAGGATAAACCATCTCTCCTCTCTACACTGGCTGTAATCTATAGACAATACCAAAGACTTTGAGAAGTCTGAGAATGAAGCCATTTTTTTTGCTTGTCATGCATAACGTTTTACAGAGATATAAAAGACAGGCTCTTTTTCAAAGCTGACTGCTGAACAAATTTCATCTGTACTAGAAAATATCATGTCACATTCAAAATTAAACAGAGAATGATGAAAGACTACAGTGGATATGTCATGCTACCTAATCCACATTAAATAAAATTATCTTTGATATCAGATATGATTAGACAAAAGCAGTTTATAAGAAATCAAGCAGAAAATTGCAAAAGTAAAGTTGGATATGTTCTCCCTGCATGACAGATTTTTGCTGGCAATTTCAACACAGTGTGGTTTAAAAGAGAGCAAAAGCTTCCATTTCAAAATCTCAGCTTGATGTTCTAAGTCCAGTTCCACCAGCCTTTTTTTATGTATTTGTATTTGATAAGGAAAGCATTTCTCAGTTTAATCAAGATGTCTTTTTATGTAGAGATTGCCATAAAAGGCAGTTCTGACTTCAAACAGAAGTGTATTTATGCAGTGATGATGCCATGTAACAGCTACAGAGACTCTAATTAAACATCTCTGCTCCAAGTGACAGGAATACATTTACCATACCGGCAGCAAAATGCTCAACTAGAGGTGCTTGTCTCCTTAGCAAATCAATTCAAGTTGATTTTAAGGCGATCAGAATTTAGAACAGTCAATTCTGCAAAATCTTTCAACTGAATCATCCCAAGTATAGAGGTACACACACATGTACCTCCCAATACAGTGGGAGGTCATAAGCACTGTTCTGGTGACTGATACCTGGGTTTTGGGTCACACATTCTGTGCTCTCAACGAGTTATTTGAAATGACAAGCTTCCACCCTGTTAGTTCCCCTGGTGCTGTCACAAAGCCAGGGAGCATCCATGTATGTACAGCACAGCTACACAGCATGCTGCAAATTATGTCAAATCTGAATCTCCTTGTACTGTCTAAGGCTCAAACAAGCTGTCTGCACCATCTGAGGGGAGCACATGGTGAAACAGCTCATCTGAATCTCTGAAAGGCTTGGGGTGACCTGGTGTAAAGCACTGACATTCAGCACCTGGCACAAGCTCTTTCTGTAAGACTGACTTCCATTTTTTCTGTTTGTAGGTCAGTAGCACTTCACCACAGATCTGGAAATAAAACTTCCTGCCAATTTCCCATTTGCAAAAACAATCTCTTGCTAAATGTGCATTCCCCCTTTTCACTGCTGCAGCAGCCTCACATAAGAGCACAAGGAATGGCCATATGGTGTCCGAGAGAAAGTCCATCTCCCTTGGGTGTTAGCTCCAACAGTGGCCATACACAGATGCTTAGGACAGTAACAGCACAACAGGAGAAACATGTCTGATACTATGCCTTAATAACTCACAGCCTCTGACTGCTTTCAGCTTAGGAAGTTCATAAGCTAGACAATATTGCTATGGATTTAATAACTTGCAAAGAATCTTGCTACCATGAATTTGTCCAGATTCTATCTGAGCTCATCTGAAGCTGAGCATCCTTCTCAATCTGGCCCTTGGTGCCACTTGACAGTTAGGGTTGCCCAGTGATTAGAGTCACGTAAATCATCCTTGGGAGATATGCCATCTCTCCACGAGAGAGAGGGATGATTAGTATCAACAGCAATCTATATTTTTGGTAGAATAAATTCAGTGAAATGAATCTTATCCTCAGTCTTGATGTCTTCGTTCTCCTTTAAGGTACGGTATCTTCCCGCTGCAGTCTTATTTGAGATTTTACATTAAAGACTGTGAGACCTCCAGACCTGACACCACTGGGAGTTGTGAAATGCTTGTGATTAACAGTAGGCCAAGGATAGAAACCTGCAATGCTCTCTGTGACTGCTCTGTTTTTCTGCCTGTGCCTCTGCAAAGCAAATATATACCCATTTACATCATCCAAAACCTTCACCCATGTCACAGCCATCACACTGACCTGCAGTCTGTTTTAGCCTCAGAGAGTATTTCTAGTTCAGGCAAGGCAGCCACCCTCCCCAAGAGCACTGGATGAGGAGGCCAGGGCAAAGGGTTAACTGGGACACAGGACAGTGAGGGACAGGACAGGAGCAGATGGCGAGGGGTAATGCTGTAGCACACTGTTTGGAAATTAAACTCCTTTCCTAGTGACTGTGTTGACATTGTTAAGTAGCACTAATAGTACATTGCTTGCTAAATGGCTTCTGGGACTGGCAAAGAAAGAATTGAAATCATTAAATAGCAACAGGCAGAAAACCAAACAGCAAAATGTCAAGTGGTAATGAGAACACACACGGTGCCGAATACCTCCCACTGGCATGTTTTGGGGTCATGGGGAGAGCAGGCCCTTGAGCAGTTCTGTGATACACTTTCTAGTTAGCAGAAAAATCCTATTTTATAACCAAATTGATTCACAGGAATGAAAAACAGCATGTCAGGAACCAGTCACCGATACTATGACAGCATTCTTAAGCAGCATCATATAAAATCCATCCCTTAGCAATAACATTGCTCCATTTCTTTGAGAATTGGGTGTCTGACATTTTTTATAGTCAGCTAGAGAATTGTGACACTTGGCTGCTGCTACCTTGTTGGGAACCCAGGTTTGGCATAAATATTTGAAGGCATAGCTGAATCTTCTAGTGAGAAACTAAGAAGCCGCAGCAGCAGCTTTAACAGCTCTGCTGTATCTTTGCCCTGGTCTCCCCAAGCATCACTCCAGGAATGGGATGCTAACAGGTGAAATGCCACCACAGCTCAGGTGTTGATTTGTAAAATCCATGTTGCTGCTTCAGAATATCTAACTTTCCAGTGTTTCTTTTTTTTTTTGTAAATTCTAGATATCATATTTTTACAAGATGGTATGATTTGAATACATAAAGTGAAATTATTATTTCCTTCTGCCCTGGTAGCATGTGACCACTGCAGTGCATATTTGCGTCTGAAAAACATTCCACCTGCAGTCATAAATTAGTCTAACATAGTTGCCAAAGGCAGGAGCAATGTATGGGTCCACAAATTCATCATAACAACATCTTAATTAAGTTCTTTT